AGTTGTAGCCGGAATTCCTTACCTCATGAAGGTCTAAACCGCCGACGCACACAGGTGTTTAGGCGCGCGAGCTGTCGAGCTGAGAGAGCCACGATATAGGGATCCAGGAAAGAACGCTCACAGGAAGACGATGGTACACCACCGCTGACCGCGAACGGAAATAGAGGCCGCGCGACGAGAAAATCCGCGCGACAATGGAGGAGGAAGCCGCGACGAGTCTAGCTCGGACAAGACAAGCCGTACGTTTCAACGCTGAGCGGCCTTCCGCGTTTCCTTCCCGTCCGGGAAGGGAAACCGGAAACGTCTCGCCCATCATCGTCGTCGCACACGGTTACTATCGACAACGTCGCCCGCATCTCACCGTCATCGTGCACTCATATTCTCGTCATTATCGTGTCGTCATTGTTAGCGTCATCGTCATCAGCACCATGACAACGTCATCCTCATCGCTGTAGAGTCAAACAACATATCATCATCTTTCTTCTCGTTGTGTTCATGCGCAGGAAAGTAAAGGGAAGATATAAACGTGTATCTGCGAGCGATTTTAATGTTTCATGTGTAATATGAGACGAGAGAAATGCCAAACGCGGAATGAAGCATCCTATGATCGTTAGAAAAAGTTACCTCTTGTCCAGAAGGCTCCACATTTTGGCCATGTATTACGACATTATAAAGTATATTCGAGAAAAGAGCGACGTTTTCGACAGGTGTCGGTCCGGTCTATCTTGATGGTCACGCGACAGACAGAATTATTCTCGCAATATATGCATTTCTTATATAGAATCTTGATCCTTAACACACTCTCGACCATCGTCTAACGCTGAGCACTTTTTAACGATCAGTTTTTATTTCTTTTTTTCTTTTGTTTGACTCGTTAACCCGTTAACGTCACGAGGAGCGATACCACCTATCGTTGCATTTCATCGGTAACATTCGTACAGTGATAGGTAGGACTTTATAGTATAGAGAGAAGGAAGCTATAACAGCTGTCGCTGTTGCCGAGTCTATTTTATAGTGTTCTATCTACCTAGATTACGCGGTGGTACGCGCTCTAGCGATTAATTTGACGTGAGATTAATTGTTTGTAACTAAACCCTCTCGCTCTGGTGCCTCGTTTTCATCGGCTTCACTGCTACACACGCTTACCTTTTCCGTCCCGATAAGGTTTGTTGTTCCTCCCAAAAGCTGATTTTCCTTTCTCTCTCTCTCTCTCTCCCTCTCTCTCTCTCTCTCTCTCTCTCTCTCTCTCTCTCTCTCTCTCTCTAACGTTACATATTTGTAAGACACAAAGAGATCTCACAAGAGTGAACGAGCCGAGGCCCAGAGTTAGCGCGAAGCTACGAACGAATATCTTTGCCTATGATTTAATCTACGACGAGATTTCCTATATAGTCATCACGCGGAGCTCTTATAGCGCGTTTGTATCGGTCTCCCCGTTCTGAAAGCTCGAACTTTATTGTATTAGGAATTCGACGATATCGATTAGAGAACTTCTCAACGAAGAAATCTTCTGCATTCTATCGAATTAATCGAGATAGAACAGGGAGTGCCATCGATATCGCGATCTCAATCTTAAAACTTCGGGATTTGTAGGAACTTAGGGGTTAGAAACATCTGCAGGATTTAAGAAGAGGTCACGAGCATACCCATACACAGAAAAATACATTCAAATAAATGTTACTTTTTTTCAAGTATTTCATACGTTTGTAACGAAGTTTTAAAACAATACTATATGATAATATATAAGTTACAAAATAATATGTAAGTTTATATATCCGCAAGTATATCATAAGTTCATCATAAACATCAAATTTTTTTACTCAAAATTTAGCATTTTAGACAAGCATATGAAGTAAAAATAAATTCGGCTTGCATATTACGTAAAATCGAAGCAACGTTTTCTTCGATAAAGTTTTATAATATCTCGGTAAAAAGAATAGATTCTTCTTTTGAGTATATGATAATGAGCTTTTCTAAAATTTATAATGAGTACACGGAGGGTGAAGGGAGGGAGAAAGAAAAAGAGAATCTTATAGCTTTTTTTCTCCATATTATTATATATTATTATATAATTTTTTTCAATTTCACTATGCTTCTACACGAAGAGAATATTATAGTTTCTTTTTCATATAAATCCTTTCCAATTTTACTATGTTTTTAGTTTTTACTATGTTTTTAGTCCAGGAATAGAATGTCAGATCTATTTTGTTAAAGAACCTAATAAATCTTGCCTAATAAATCTTGAAAAATAGTAAATCTTTTTAACGATATGTTTCAGTTCGTAAAATATAAGTAGCAGATGTAAGGATAATAAATTACTGCAGAATGTCAATCTATTCCTCGGTTACAAAATTCTATAAAAATTTGTACTATAAAGTTCTTTCCGTGTAGAAATAGACTGTTAGTAAGATCTATTTTACTAAGGAACATTATAAATTTTGCTAAGAACATAATAAATTTTTCAATAGCACATTTCAGTTTCTGAAATATAAATAGCACTTACGAGAGAAGTGGCAAAAAAAAATAAATTGTCACAAAATTTCAATTTATTTCTCGGTTACAATATTCTATAGTAGTTTTTCTTGTTAAATTCTCTTCTCTTCTCTCCGTATCCACTTTAAGATTATTATGAAGAAAATATATTTTGTTAAAATAACTAATACTCAAAAGAAGTAAACCGAATAATTGCCTTTCTTAGCAGTAGAATGATATTTTTCTGTGTGCACATGTACATATCGGTTTGTATTCCAGGAGCTACACTCATAGCTCTGACACAACCTTTTCCTTTATGATACATTTGTTTGAGGTTCACATAAATTTTGTCATTGCAACCACTATATTTTACTAATAATCGCTTACAGCTTACCTCAGGCTGCATGAATCGACACGAAATATATACAACAGTGTCCGCGATCGGAGAAAATGATAGAGGTGCAAACGTCGCGCCCACTTGTTTATTTATTATTAATTTATTATTTGTTAATTAATTGATTAATTTACTTATTTATTTATTTATTTATTTGTACATATCGTTATATGTACGCCCTGACTTCTGTATTCGCCATTCTGTCACTCAATGTCCGTTATAGTCTGCGCAAAATACAAACGTGCCACGGCCGCCACGCTCGGAATTGTCAGGTTACAGGCGAGATACGCGTAATAACACGAGATTGTATCCCGACGTAGAGAAGCATAAAATCTCCCCGTATATCTCTCTACTAGATAGACTCTCGAGAGAAATCGCAACGTCGATCTCAGAAATGTCGCCGCGTCACACCCACCAACGGTCGAAGCTTTCACGATCAACGCAAAATTTCATTGTCACGCTGTATCTGTGATCACGACTATCAGACGTCACGAATTATCGCTCGTGAACGCTTGCGCGCGAGCCAATAAGTCCTTGTGTTATTCGCATAAGAGAGCAACATGTACGATAATAAAAAAGTCTATATTATACGATAACAATAAATACATTTCCTAATATCCTTTGTATTTGCTTTGCCCACCATCGCTAATAACGATACAGGCTACGTTATTGTACCGTATACAGAAAAAGGACATTTTTGTTCGGAAGATATCTTTATTTTTGACATGTTAATCTCCAAATAAGATTACATAGCGTTAAACAAAGATGAGTTATTTGATATATGATATCATAATATATTTTATATGATTCAACACGAAAGAAAACTTATATTCTTATAATTTCAAACTAATTTTCATTAATGGTAACAAAATATTGTACTGAGAATATGATGCTTTTAGATGTCAGATGAAGATTATTATCATTGAAACAACCACATATTATATTTGTTATGAGACTATTGCAATATTCAAATAAAATTATAACCTTATATATTAAAATTCAGTACTTCAAAATTCTTCTCTAACAAAACTATATATCGTTGTTTAAAATAAATGTTTAAAATAATTGTTAATTTGAGCGTTTTTAATTTTAAGCAGATAGAGGCACCTGGAATATAATACATATTTAAAAACATCATATTTTCTATCCAATATATATTTTTCAATCCAATATATATTTTTTTGCTTTCCATTAATAAAAACATAGGTTTCTCTTCATTGAATCATATAAAATAAATCTTTACAGAGATAATTTTTTTTTGTTTAATGCAATCTCATTTGAAATTAATCTGTCAAAAATAAAGATATTTTCCAACCAAGAATGTCTTTTTGTTCTGTATACATACGCTTACATGCAATACACGACGATCAACAGCAATCTTACATTAGAGTTTTTCCCCGCGAAGTCTGTCGAAAAGTATCCAAAAGAATTAGAAGCTGTCTTATGAACGTAACTTATACATAAATTCACTAATCCAATTCAGAAATAGAAGATAATTGCGAGAAAGGTAACGTTTGCATTTACGGGTTATAAAGCTTACAGAAATTACGAAGATTATAAACAGAAGATATCTATCTTATTTTATTACATTATAAAATTATACTCAACAAAATACGCCAATATAAAATATTTGTTCTCTCTGAACTGAATTGGCACCTGTGTGATAGATATATCAAAAGCTATTAATATAATTCGCGATATTCTCTTGATTTAGATTTTCGTCTCTTGCTGCTATTACGAGCACTTTGTCATGTTTAGAAGGTAAGTTATTCATCTCCTAAAAATCTTCACAATTTTCAGAATGAAACGATCCCATAAAGATACTGACAGAAACGAATAGCCATTCCAGAGCGACGTCAATCTTATTAAATTATCGCTGAATCGACCTAATATCTTCTACTAAAAAAAATTGACAATAAATTTAAATTTTTTTCCGAAATACAGAAGCTTATAACTCTGTAAAATTCACTTTTCGTTATATATTTCTTGATTGTTTTAAGACGTAGCAAAAATTACAGTTTTGAGAACGTTTTAACAGAAGCTTCTTTGTTTCGGCGCTAATGCAAGTCCAATTAACAAAATATTGAGGGACTAATCAACAAGTAATCAACTGGACTAACTGTACAACGTTCAGGTAATCTCCTCGACGAGATGGAAGTACTTGAATGGATGGTGAAACAGAAGACTGACGAGAGCATCGAGGAGATCGATCGTGAGACTCTCGTCAAGTACATCGAGACGAAAGAATTTCTCGCTGTCATATTCTGTAAGGAGCAATTCCCCACCAACGTACTTTATATTAAAATGACAAGCGCCATAAGATACTTTCCTTTTCCGTTTTTTTTTTTGTTAAAAGTTTCGGATGCTGTACATCTCTAAATCGCGACTTACATCGTAGTAAAAGTAGTTAGAGTAAAAAATATTATAATCACATAGAATTTTTTGCGCGATTTACTAATGCGCCTATATTTTGTTATTGCAACATTTATTTCGACAAAAACAAACATTTAGACAAAGAGGAAGATCCGGAAAGTCCCAGAGTGCTTAGACATATCGAGCTGATCGACGACGAGGCGGCGGAGTACGGAATAAAGATCGTCAGGATGAAAGATCGGCTGATGGCAAAGAAGTACGGCTTCCGGAATCCACCCGGCATCACTTACTTCCGCAAGGGTAAGAGTATCAACTACGACGGTGACATCGACGACGAGGAGGAGATTCTTGACTGGCTGACCAATCCCGAGAACATGGAGCTGACCGACCACATAGAACGTATCAACAAAAAGATGTTTCAAAAAGTCCGGCAAACCACGGATTACTTAGCCGTGTTCTTCTGTGAGTGCCACATGATTGCGGCGAAAAATCACACACACTTACACACGCGCGCGCACATGTACGCATACACATAGAGAAGAATGTATATACTGCATTCAAGTAAATGTTACTTGTTTCAAGTATCTCATAAGTTTATGCAAGGTTTCTGACAATTAATCACACACCCATTGTGTTCAGCTTGAATGAGTTCTACCTGCACGCAATGACTGTGTTATTAATTGTGTGAGACACCCTGTATATCCGCAAATCTATCATAAGTTTACCATAAACATCAAATTTATTCAAAATTTAGCGTTTTATTCAAGGGTATTAAATGAAAACAAAAATTTGGTTATTATATACACAGAGAGAACGATTTATTGAATCAAATAAATGTTTCTTTGGAATAGTCCAAACAAATTATTTGGTTGACACAACAAAAATATTTCTTTGAGACTAGCAAAGATTTGGAAATCCGCAAATAAATATTTTTGTTGCTTCAAACAAAATTTTGTTCAATCAATCAAAAAATTCGTTTGGACTATTCCAAAGAAGCATTTATTTGATTCAACCAAATCGTTCTCTCTGTGTAGAGTCGAAAAATGTTCGATAAAATTTTATAATATTTCTAAAGAAGTTCTTATTCTTAAAAGAAAATATATAAATTCTTCTTTGTATATACATAAGAACGAACTTATCTTAAATTTATAATAAGTATTTATAATAAGTAAATTTATCTTAAATTTATAATAAGTACACGGGGAGAACATTATAATTATGTTTTTAATATAAATTTTTTTCAAACTAATACATAGTAAAATACTGATTACATAATAAAGTTTGCTAGGAATATAGTAAATTTTTTAGTAATATATTTCAGTTTTCCTAAGATATACATAGATGTCCAAATTCTCCTCCGCAATTTTGTGGGAAACAAATTATAATAAACAAAATTGTAATAAACATAAAAGTCCTATACCGTTTTGCGATATTCGCAATAATAATCGAGATATTAATTAAACAAATTGGTAAATGCGATATTTATATGGTAGATATGGTAGATGAGATGTAGTGGCGCCATCTGCTGTTGTATATTTATACATTAAGTCAAACTGAACAAAAAAGTCCTCTACCATTTTACAAATGACTACATAGATTTTTAGTTATTAATGAAAGAAAATTGTTTGATTGTGCGCGATAATGCATAAATCTTCTTTAATTAATATCTAAAAATCTATATAGAAGTAATCGTCATTTGCAAAATGGTAGAGGACTTTTTTGTACAGTTTGATTTAATGTATAAGTATACAACAGCAGACGGCACCATTACATCTCATCTACCATATCGCGCGTAATCATTCACTAATCATCTTTAATTAATATCTCGAGATTTATTACAGATATCGCAAAACGGTTTGGGTTTTATGTTCACCTCAATCCGCTCTACGTTTTCATTCCACAAAAATTACGGAGAAGAATCTGGAACATTTGTATATAAATAACGCATATAAAATGAATGAATAATAAATTACAGAATAATAACTACAGAAGGTCGATCTCGGCTATAAAATTCTACAGTAATTTTTACTATAAAATTCTCTATATTCCGTGTATATTTTAAGATTATTACGAAGAGAATATTGTTTGTTGAAAGTAATCATTACTTAGAAAAAGGAAAATAAACTAAGTAATCACTTTTCTTAGAAGTAGAATGAAATTTCACTCTCCTCAATCTACTCTCTTAAAGTGAATCAGTGAATAGTCACTGATATCAGTTATAAATATAGCACTGAGCACTTTCAGTGCAATACTTATAACTGCAAATCAGTGTATATTCACTGTTTTCAGTGATGTTTCACTGATTCATTTTAAGAGAATATGCATGGGCGATTTTCATTTTATGATACGTCGCGTGTCTGTTCAGACAGCAACGACTGCAAACAATGCGGCCGGGTATTGGCAGAGATCGAGCACATCGACGACGATGCCGACGGCGTCGGCATCAAATTCGTGAAGATCGATGACAAACAATTAGCCAAGTATTACGGCGTCTTCGCGTTACCAGCTATACTGTTCTTCAAGATGGGATCGAAGGAGCCGGTTATATACGCAGGTACACGACGTAAACTATCTAAACCCTCCATTTACAGAAAAAAGTAACAATCTTGTTTCGAAAATATTTTCATTTTTGACATGTAAATTTTTGAGATTACATAGAAAGAGCGTTAAACGAGGATAAATTATTTGCATCAATATATTTTATATGATTCAACAAAGAAATATTTATTCTTATTATTAAAAAATAACTTTGATGAAAAAGCACAAAATATTGGATTGAGAATATGATGTTTTCAAACGTCAGAAGAAGATATCATTATCATCAAAATAATCATATTGTGTTTCCTTTATGAGACTATTATAACTGTTATAATTTTTATGATACTGTTTATAATATTTAAATAAAATATAGCATTGTTGGCATTTGAGATATATACTTTAAAATTCTTCTAAGAAAATCATATATCGCTGTTTATATATGAAACAATGATTGTTAATTTAAGCATATCAGTTTTAAATAGATACTAACTATTCTTTCTGTATAGAGATACGCACTGAGAGAAGAAAATGTATTTTTAACAGGTGACTTGTATGACGAGGAGCAGATCTTGCAATGGTTGATGACGCAGAAGGATCCCTCGGGCGAGGTGATCGAAGCCCTGGAAGGCGAGGATCTACTAAACCTAATACGAGAATCGGAATCCTTAGCTGTGTACTTCTGTAAGTTTTAAAGCACAGCGAACATTCTCGCGCGTCATGAGTAGCCACGGTCGATGGCTGTTCGATCACAGCCACTGGCTTTCGCGCGCTTTCTTTCTTCTTAATTACTTGCTTCATTATTCTCGCGTTCTTAATTAATATACAGAGTATCTCAGACCTAGCGACCTTAATTTTACTCAGAGGTCCTCTGAAGAATTTGGAAACAATTTTTCTCATCGAAAATGTCGAGGGAGTTTATTACTCATAGCACCTTCATAATTTTTATTTACTTAATTATTCGCGGGGAAATATCCGAATATATATGGTTAAACAAAACGAGAAACACAATAGTAAGAGCATAATAATAATATCTCACAAAAATATCAACTGAATTTAATAATCTTCAATTTAATAATTTATTTGAACAAATATATTTTAATTCAAATAATTGACGATTTATTTAAGCAAAATCAATCAAAGAATATTAATAATTGATAATTGATAATTGATTTCAAAGTATTCAATTAATGATCGTTTAATTGACAGTTAATACGAACAAAGATAATCAAAGACTTGTTTATTTACTAATTAAACTAAACAGATTTAATTAAAGGTCTTTTATTTGACGATTAATATGAACAAATTCAATCGATTCGATCAAAGAGCGATTCTTCAAGCGATCAAAGAGTTCAATTTCTTAATTGGTTACATTAGTTACATTACTCAATTAGTTGCAATTGATTTTGTGGACAATATTTATAGAGCATTGTAGCATCGTGGCCGATAATTGAGAAGTTAAATAGTATTCACATTGAAGGAGAATATTGGTCATATCAATCGTCACCAAACAATCTTCGATTAAATCGATTGAATTTACTCATATCAATCATCATTTAAACGGCTTTAATTAAATTTGCTATAACTATAATTATTAATTAAGCAATCTTTAATTCTCTTTGCTCAATCGCCAATTGAACAATGTTTAATTAAATTCGTTGAAAGCAATTGTTAATCGAGCGGTCTTTGACTGAATTTGTTGAAATAATTGTTGTAATTGTCAATTACACAGTCTCTAATTAAAATGATACCTTAATATTGTCAATTAAAAACGATAATTAATTAAAAAGGCAATTAATTACTAGCAATCCTGTAATAAACTAATTCTGAATTAAGTTGAAAAATAACGCAACAAATAATTTAAACAAAAGAAACATTCTACTAAAAAAGTCCATCCTGGATGAGTACTTATTAGTCAAAATATTAAAGCAAAATTTATTAAAGCAACTAACTTTATTATAAAACGTCTTATGTTTTTCTACAAAAAAAAAATGGATTAAAAGAGAATTTTCAATATATCTTTACAAATAAAACTTAAAGTAAACTTTTGTTAAAATAAAATAAATTTGGAATTGATCGAGGAAAAAATAATTCTCTTATCCATTTGTATATTTAAAATTTAGTTCATGAAAAAACCCGCTTTTTTATCGCTCGTACTTCAAAAATTAGTGATATCTTGATGTTTTCGCTGAAGAAAACTTAAATTACTCAAAAAGTCTCTCGACAAAATTAAAGTCGCGAAATTTGAGACATTCTTAACTCTCAATTAAATATCAATATTTAAATTTCTGTCGCCCGAGAATGCGAAATTAAATAAACTCGCATCTTGTAGGAAGTTCTCGTGCGCAAAAGCACACTCTAAATCTTTTAGAGTGGAAATCTCACTCGAAAAATAGCATCCGAATCACTCGAATTAGAGTGTCTTGTAAAATGAATTCCTTCATTTTGTATCGTGGAGTGAAAATTTCCACTCTATGTCATGAAGTGAATTTTCCCTCGACAAATAGAATGACGATCGTCGCTCAAGTTAAAGTGATTTTTCACTATGGAGTGAATTTTCAGTCATAAAAGAATGAATGATTCAAAAACAGCGCATGTACCGTTATAAAAGTCATTCCATCAGTTAATAACAATAGGTTGGCTCAGCATTGACTCAATACTGGTAAGATTCAAGACTCAAGAACCAGAAATCTTAAGTTGAAATCCCACTATGTGAGCGAATTTTTCCAAACATATTATAAATGGAATTAATTAATTATATAAATTAATAATAATAAGTTAAATGGCACACCATTAAAAAAAGTGCGATAGCTAAAGCCACTAGTAATCACAAACATGATAAAACTAGAAATTTTCCTTTTTACCTAATCGTAAAAATTCACTTTACTTGGAGTGAAATATTCACTCTTATGAAAAGTGAAATGTCAAGATATTTTCATTATCGCTTAAAGTGAATCCATTCTTTTTGAGTGAAGCTTCACTCCGAGAAATTTAAAAAGCAGTTTCGCGGGGAGAAGGGAAATGTTAATGAGAGAATAATGCAACCTCGTGATGCTCGCTCGCGCGCGCGGTGACTGTATCTTACCCCACCTCCCGATCTTTACGTTGTAATTAAAACCGCAATGAAGAAGTCGAATTAACCTCTCTGCCCCCGAATGTATGTAGTCGTCTCGACCCCTTCGTATACTCTATCGAGAGCCCACCCGTCTTACCGCCGTCGATTTTCTCGCTCCGACGCCGTATACGTTGTGTACTAATGCCGTAGGGAACAGAACACTTTGCGACATGTGCCAATCAAAAGCGTACCGCAAGCAGATGCGCCACAAGCAGGAGCACAGAAATGCGGAACACGCGGAACATGCAGCTGAGGACACCGATGGTACAGCAGATCCAAGCAAGAGCAACATTTATAGATCGTCCCGAGCTTACTCGCTGTCTAACTATCTATCTATTTATGTATCTATCTATCTATTTATCTCCATCTATCCTCTTCCTCCCTCTCTCTTTCTTTCTGTCTCTCTCTCTCTTTCTCTCTATTGTATCTAGTTTATGTTCTAGATGTTAGTTGTCTCGATCATAACCGAGATATATCCCCAGGACTTGTATGAAGTACACAAGCACGCTGTACGCGCGAGTCTTTCCGAAATCTGGAGAATTCTCGCACGAGAACACGTGCCCTTCGTACTATGGTGCATGTGCTTTTCCGTAGGAAAAACTATGAAGGAAAGGTGAAGGAACACCAACAATTAACGGCACATTGTCTTCGAGAAATTCTTTGTTTCTAGTCTTTATTCGAGTATGTTATTGTGTGTGTCCAAGCAGTTAAGTATTTCAAAGTAAAATGCATTTAAAAGTCTATAAACAGGCACAAATAGACCTCATGATTGTTACGACGTGGGACAATCAATAATGGAAAGTCTGTAAATTTTTTTTTTAATTACTTTTATGAAACAAATATACTATATTGAATTCATCTTCAAATTTATATGCGCGTCATATAATTATGTAAATTTTTTGTTAGCAATGACACAGCAAAAAATATACTCAAAATTATATTGAGATTCTCATGTTATACTTTACATGATATATTGCTTTAAGAAAATTTTGATCATTTCTTTCGTGTTTTTATATCGACATTTTACACTGAGGGAAAAATTATTTTAAAATTAACAAATATTTCTTTGATAAGTGCCATTAACATATTTATTTATAAATCTAAATTCTCTTTATTTAAACCAAATATTGTTTACTTAAATCAGGTAAACAATATTTGATTTAAATAAAGAGAATTTAGATTTAAGTAAATATGTTAATGACGCCCATCAAAGAAATATTTAGATTTGGTTTCCGGGTTTGAGCCACGTAGATTTATATTCGTTTGATTCAATTAAACGAAGATGAATCCACGCGGCTCAAACCAAATCTAATATGCATGGACACCGCGAAAGCCTAAAAAATCCAAAGAAATATTTGTTGATTTTAAGATAATTTTTCCTCAGTGTATGTGATAAATATGCCACTCATAAAGAATGTAATCTTTACAAATCGACTGGTAAAGTTGCTGCCAAATTTATGTACACTTGTCTATCTGAGTAACTGATTATCAAAAAAAAACTTAAATAGACTTTTATAATGAAAACTTCACAGATTTTTTGTAATTGTATTTATATGAAACCACATATAATGTGCACTGTGTGTATTGAATTAATGATTAAATTATATTACAATAATACAAATTTTTTCTTACATTAATGCAGTAACAAATTTACTGGAAGTTACACATACAATTTTCATATATTTTACGTTGCATATTGTTTTGAACAAATTTTTATTATTCCTTTAATATTTTTCATATTTCTATTTTGCCATTCTAAATGGTGATAAATATGAGTGCCATATGAACCACTTATTAGGGACGCAATCTTTACAAATTGACTAGTAAAATTGCTACCAATCTATGTACGCCTATCTACCAGCAATCTTTTATTTTTTAATTAATAACGTAATAAGTTGATAGTTTAATAAAACAATACACTAAAAAAATACTGTTTATATTGATAAGAACAGGAGTCTTATAAATATTTATGAATAGTCTTAATATTTGAAGTATAACTTAAAGTACGTGAAATATATGCGTAACTATCGTGTTTAATGAGAATTATTGCGAAACTAGAGACTCGCGCTCTTAATCGTGAGTGTTCCTTTGCTGTTACTCTTGTTTTATAGCTAATAGAGAATTGGATGCAAAACCGCCGCTTTCCAGGACAAACATCTACACGGACTCTTTCTCCAAGAAACGACACCTTCCTTACTTTCTTTTCTTTTTCTTTCAAGACTTTTCGTCTCTCTCTCTTTCTTTTTCTCTATTTCTTTCTTCTTTCTTTCTCGATGTATATATTCTCTATGTACAATCATACAGTTACACAGGTGCACGTGCACGAGAGCAAAGCATGCGACATGAGAAACGAACACGCAGCCAAGCAGTAATGACCTACAGATCCCGACCAAAAGCATGCAAAATTCTCTCGCTTGTCCCGTTGACGAGACGGAGAGACGCTTTAATATATCGCTAGCGAGTGATGAAACCTCCAAACGTCACGCGCACGTAAATCGTAGCTCGGTCGTTCGATCCACCGTAGACACACCACTCGCTCTGCATAAACCACGTACTAGCCCCGTGTACTTGCCTTGTATCTAGCAGATTCCTCCCTCGTGCCGAGTAGACCGATTGCATAGGCGACATCGATGTGTGCACCTTACATCATTAAAGAAACCACCACCAATCGCCTCTATCGTTGGTGATCATACGACATCGTCGCGAATTCGACGAAAATTTGTGCAATAACAGAGCCTCTGTCTTCAGATCCCGACGAATGCGCGCAATGCGTGGGAATACTCGAGGAACTGGAAAACATCGACGACGACTGCGACCGTCATGGCATTACGTTCGTGAAGACGCAAGTAAATAAAACGGCATTTTCTCTTGTTGTCTGATTCTGTGTTTTCAAGTATATATCTCTTTCACTACTCGATTTATCTTTTTGTTACCTTTAATTTTTCGTTCACTATATCATAAGAACATCTTCTTTGTGCCAATAGATCAAAAGTTATAATCTCTTGAGACTTTATTAAAGCAAACAAAGAATAAGAGCCGATTGCCGATCTCAACGGCGAAAATCACAATTTAATAAAAAGCTTTTATTAAATTGTGATTTTTGCCGTCGAAATCGGCAGTCGACTCTTATTTGCCTTATTTTTTGTTTATCTTCTTTATACGTTTCTGCAGGACTACAAAGTAGCCGAGGACTATGGGGTGACCGATCTCCCAGTGCTAGTCTACTTCGAGAAACAAGTACCGAATGTGTTCGCAGGTCCGTAGTTTTTGAATTGTCATCGAGGAAGTCTAAAAGTAAACTTTCTTGATCACATCCTACCTCATTCACGATCATTTGTTCCCAGGTGATCTCTCTGTGGAAGAGGAGGTATTGCAGTGGCTGATAACCCAGAAAACAGAAGATCGGATCGAATTAATCACGAGAGTGATGCTGGAAACATCCGTTGAGGAGACTCAGTACTTAGCAGTTTACTTCAGTGAGTTAATTATTCCTTATAATAACGATATATCCTTTTATTTAATAATTTCAAATGTATGAAATCGACCGAAAAATTCTATTTTTAAATTAAATTTGAATGAAATTTTACTTTATTACATTTAAGTCTCCTGGTCGCAGAAGTTTGATTGGCGTCAAAAACAACAAAATGCACGCTCAAAATGTGTGCATGCCATTTTCGAATAAAAAGATATTTGTATAACAGAACACTTTGGATCGCTTAAGCATACTTGTAAAATGTACCTATTTTTTTCTCTTAGCAGTCAGTAAATAGTCGTAAAATTGACGTGATATGCAATCCTTTCCTTTGACTTTTTCTCATAATTTTGTCACATTAATTTGACGGCTATTTATTAACTGTCAAGAGAAAAGTATAGTTTTCGGAGCGTTTTACAAGTGTGCTCAAACGATCTTCATGAACACTCAAGCGTTCTTTTATTCAAATATCTTTTTATTTGAAAATGGCACGCAAAAATTTGCAGCGTGTCAACATTTCTCGTTATAACGAGAATTGTTGCTGAACTGTTGGATTATAATTCATGGACAGCAGTATGTTATCAGCATTATTGTCCTCATTGCATAAGCGACACCATCTATTGGAAACCGAAACATACTTCTTAATTTAAGGCTCCTGGCCCCTCGCATTGTCTATCTCTTTTTAATGATCGTCAGAAACGAAAAAATGCATGCTAAAAATTCTTACAAAATACGTTAAAATAAAAATATATTTGTCGTAAATTAACGTGACATACAATTCATCTTCTTAACCTATTTCTTCATCTATTTCTATTATTCATGTTAATTTACAAATTATTGATTGTTAGAGCGAAAGAGGAGTGCACGGAATATCTTACAAATTTGTTCAATCGATTGCAAGTGTTACTTTATGGATATATATTTTAATTTTAACGTATTTTGCAAGAATTGTATTTAGCATGCATTTTCTCGCTTCTGACGTCATTAAAAAGAGATAGACAATGCGAGAGGCCAGGAGACTTAATGTAAGCGTAACATCAATGCCATCATCGTAGATAAACAAAACTGTCATATATGCGACGAGATCTTGGAGGGGCTGGAGAAAATCGACGACGAATGCGATGTGTTCGGGATTCACATGGTGAAGATTCAAGATCCACAACTGGCGAAACGGTATTCCATCAAGACGTTCCCGGCGCTCGTTTATTTCCGCAACGGCAACCCTCTTCTCTTCGAAGGTTTGATTGTCTCCTATACTATGCCGTATTTTTCTCTGCATTTTAAAGAATAACAAGAATTCTGCAATGTTACGTACGTAGGGGATCTCCAAAACGAAGAGTCTGTCCTCGAATGGCTGATCGACGACGACAATCGCGAGCTCGCCGATGAAATAGAAGCCGTCAACGACAGGATGTTGGAGAGACTACTCGACGAGTCTCCTTTCCTAGCTGTTTTTTTCTGTATGTAACCAACCGGCGACCAATGAAATCTCGGTATCGAACCCTCTATATCAGGGGTTATGCCTTAGATTTCAAGATTTTATATCTACGTGAATTGCTTACGTGTTGTCTATACGGTCATGTATACAACCTTTTTTTATATTTAGACTGCGTAAACTATATAAAGAGGGGGATATATTGTAAATTATATTAAAATATACAAAATTAAAAGCAATTAAATTATGAGAGTTACCGTGCCTATTTTGGTTATTATAAATGTAATGTTTTAAAAAGATTACAATACATTTTAATGTAAAGTTTTAAAAAGATTACAATTACATAAAATTTTTATTTCGTTATGTAATTGGTAAATTTAATTCTCTATCAAATGCGATATGTAATACGATATATGTAAATAATAAGTAATCTATGGATATCAAAACATATGCCTTACTAAAAAATTAATTAAAGAAAAAATTTATATTTTTATTTAATTCTTTTAGAATCCTTATATATATTTTTTTTTTTCTTTTTTTTTTATTTATAAATTTATGAACGTTGTTTCTCTTAAATAAGTTACAGTTTCTCTGTAGAATATATTTTTTAGTTACATTCTTACCTTTAGAATTAAATCTATATCAATCTATCATACATAATGAAATTAAAATTTCATACAATTTATTATCTTTTTGAAACATTACCTTTATAATTATTATCCGAAACAGATACAACAACTGCCTTATAATTTAATTACTCTGTTTTGTATATTTTTATATAATTATAAATATTCTACACAATTCACATCGTCTTCACGGAGAAAAAATTATATTGCATGTATGAACATGATGTTTAGTCATAATGAACGAAACAACGCATTTTAGTTGAATAATATAGATTTTCTGGTTTTTCTGTTTCCTCCAACCAAAACGTGTTGGTTTGTTCATTACAACCAAATCTTTTTCTCCGTATACATAAAAAAAGACAGTGTATACATTAAATAAACTATATAGTATACACTATATAGACAATAAGTTAACTCACGTAAGCGTAATTTTGAAATCTGCGACACAATCCTGTCCTGTTTTTTGTTACATACAGACGATGAAGATTGCCCGGAATGTAGCGAGATCATGGAAGCATTGGAAAAGATCGACGGCGAGGCTGATCTCTTCGGTATCGACTTCGTTAAGATCTCTAGCCCAGAGGCAGCCGAGAAGTACAGCATCCTCAACGTACCATCCCTCGTGTACTTCCGGAAGAGAACGCCGCTCGTATACGATGGCGATCTCATGCAGGAGGATAAGATCCTGCAATGGCTTACCTCACAGGATGTGTTCGAGATCAAGAACGAGATCGAGGAAGTCAATAAAAAGATGCTAGACAAGCTATTGGACGAGAACGAATTCCTCGCGGTTTTCTTCTGTGAGTGAACATTCGCTTACTCGCGTTGCTATGAACACGACACTCAACTTACAACAATCATCTACGTCGTCTGTCGTTTTTCAGACGAACATAACGATCCAAACAGCGAGGAAGTGAATGCGAAATTGGAGGAGATCGACAGTGAGACCGATAATTTGGACATCACGTTCGTCAAAATGGCAGATCCCAGATACGCCAGAAAGTGGGGAGTCACCAAGCTGCCCGCTGTTGTCTACTTTCGCAAACGATTCCCGAGCATCTACAGAGGTAATGATTCGAACAGACGAGCCACTTTGTGGTACCACAGAGAAACGCCAGGCCTATGCGGACAGCTTACTTTTGTGACGTCCCAGAGAAACGCGCGCGCGCATTTCAGAGTGACATACATATAAAAGCCCAAATCTATCACAAAATACTAGAAAAATACGGAACACAAAGGCTTGTTTTACACACACGCGTATACACACACATACACACATATATACCACTCTAAAGCGCTTCTCTATTGTGCCACAAAGTTATGTTTCTCGCCATAAAGTGGTTCGTCTGTTCGAACTTTAAGAGACTCCGTAGAGTCCAGAAAACCAAAGAGTTAGACGTTTACGCGTAAATTATACTACTCTACATCTACGTAGACAACGTAAACTATGTACGAGATGTCATCTTTATAAACAATGTGTAATCTATAGATGTTATTTAAAGAACGTATAGTTTATTCAAAAATTAATTAAGAAAAGCTCATATTTTTATTTAATCTTTAGAATTCTGATGTGAATTTCTGAATATTGTTTTCTAAAGTCCACTGAACTCTTGACGTTCTTACCAGAGTTAAATCTGTCAATCTATTACATAAGAAAATGGAAATTTTACGCAATTTGTTATCTTTTTGAAGCAGTACACTTATTATTGATACCCAAAACAGGTATTGTAAATATCTTGTAACTTAACCCCTTCAATGCCAACCGAAAAATATGCTTTTGGGCCAAAAATAATCTTCATAAAAGTATTGAATTTATATAACATCTGTGTCAGAGAGGATTTTTTGGGTCACTGAATCCGATTCCGGGATCAAAATTTAAAAATTAAAAATGGCGTCCAAACATTTTAAAAATTATGCGATTTGCATGAAATCTGGTTTATCAGTGTTTTATCAGCTAACGTGAACAAGACGAATTTATATATATTTTTTAACTCACCACTATAATCATTGAAAAAATTGTTGAAAAAATATATACGCTGTAAAAAAAATATTTTTAAACAAGTTGAATTCATTTTCGAGAATTCTATCTGGCTAAATTAAATTTATCATTTTGATTAACAATTTGACACTCGATTTTGATTCTATGACCTGAAAAACCCTTGCAAACCAAATTTCTTGCAAATCGCATAATTTTTAAAATTTTTTGAAAGCCATTTTGAACTCGCCATTTTAAATTTTGAAATTCTGACCCGGAACTCGGATTCAACGACCCAAAAAATCTATGAATACCAAACTTTATTGAATTCGGTTAAGGATTAATAATTTTTTTCAAAGTGGCGCCTATATGACGTCAGTGACACTAAAGGAAGATTAATTACTATTTTCCGTATACTTTATAAATTTTCATATTAATATTTTCAATATTCTACGTAGTTTGCATTATCTACACTAGAAAAGACCATATATGTATATATCACATAAACAATGCTTAAACACGTAGACGTATTTTCAAAATTTACGGCACAACTTTGCAGGGAACATCGTAAGGGTTGTAATATTCGCTCTAATGTACATTCTCAGGTGATATGCACAGTGAACAGGATGTTCTCGAGTGGTTACGCAAGAACCGATACCGGCAGCCGGAGCTAAACATCTACATGTACATGCTGATCGCCATAACTATCCTCTTCCTCATGTACACCGGCTTCCTCCTGTCGTGCTTCCGCACGGAGCCGGCCGCAGCCGTCGCGCATCCCAAGCAGGCGTGAACGCATATCAGACACGGAGAAAAGTGACGAGAGAAAGTAAAAAGACAGGACTCGTGAATTCTCGCGCGTGTGCGTTGCTCGATACTTCATTGATACTCCGATTCCCGAACGATTAGCGGATCAGGTTCGTCTGGAACGAACGACTTGTACGGCGCGCTCTCTGCCATTGCGATAAGAATGACGTAACGATGACTACTACTACTGCTACTACTACTATTACTACTACTACTATTACTACTACTACTACTACTACTACTACTACTACTACTACTACTTCTACTAGAACGAAAAATAGGGAGCGAGCGAACAAGCAATCTGCCTGCTTGCCTGCCTGCCTGCAAAACGCGCCCGGACCGCTGTCAAACGCTAGGATGTACGCTGCGCGAAAGAGAGGAAGAGAATGCGCACAAACACTCGTCTTTCGATACCTCGAGGCTGGAAAGCTGAGACTGACACGCGCGTTTGCAGCACGAGAATTCTTCAGAATTTCGTCCTTCAAGTATCGTGAGAAACGAGATATGAGCCGAAAAAAGGGAAAAAAGACGCAGCTTTTTGGAAATCAATCACGATCGGTAACGCTATAACAGTTTTTGTCTTGCAGAACGCGAGCGTCGAATAATATTAACGATGACGTTTTGTTAGAAACTTTGGGTCTATTTATACTTTGGTACCGTCTTTTTAAACGACGTTAACGCTTAGCGTTAATATACAGGGTGTATCTCCCAGTTCTCGTGACTTTAATTTATATTGACAGGTTCTCTGAACAATTTAAAATTAAATTTTCTTTAGACGAAAACGTCAAGACATCAATAATTCCTGAGATACGAGTAATCGAAAAAGCGGGTCTTTTCGCAATCGAAACTTCGAACAACCAAATGCCCAATAAGCAAAATATTAGCAGTATGTCAGCAGATTAGCAGTAAATTCGATCAAAATTCCACCATAAAACTAGAGTTATTTGTGTAAATTCGTGTTCTAGCGACATAATTGTCTGCTGATACAATTTGACAATAGATTAGCAACAGAAACCTGCTACCAAATTACGCGCAGCAAGATCTGCTCAGTTTCTGCCATCAATCTGCCGTTAGACTGCCAAGGTTTGCTTGGTTCCTGCCGTCAATCTGCTGGCATAGCATATCGGCAAACTCTTTCAGATTTCTCTGGCAGTTTGGCAACACCGTCAAAGATAGTGTGATACAGATTCTGTGTGAAATTTGTAGCCTTTCTAATATCAAAAATTTATAGCAGACTGCTTAGAATCTGCCTATGCAGGTTTGACTTTCTAGGTGAATAACCAAATTATTTCCCTCAGTCAATTTCAAGTAAACTTTAACAAAATTTTACTTCGAGTCTTTATTAGAAAGAGATATCTTTAAATATTATATTTATAAGCAATGTCCAAAACAGATATTATTACAGTTTCATATTTTAATTACTTTTTATTGTGTGCTTTAATTTACAATATTCTATATAGTTTACATTGTCTACATTAAAAGAATTTATATATCACGTAGACAAGAAATATTACGTAGACAAAAAAATATGTAAACAATCCGGTATATAGACGTAATCTTGAAATTATATTAAAAATTTAAATTTACCATGAATATATATATAATAAACTCCCTCGTTTTTTGCCAAGGAAAATTTAAAGCTCTTGGTCCCTTATTGTAGTCATTTTATCAGAAGCAAAAAATACATGTTAAAAATTCTTGCAAAATGCATTAAAATAAAATGATATGTTTACAAAATAATATTTACAATCGATCGAGCAGATCCCTAAAATAGCTCGAACACTTTCCTTTTACTCTAATAATCAATAAATAAATGTGACAAAATCATGAGAGAAGATAGGTTAAAAAGGAATGTTGCATATCGCATTGATTTTGCAATTATTTATTGATTATTCGAACAAAAGGAAAGCATTCGGGCAATTTTACAAGTCTGCTTAGTTAATTACAAATTGACCTCGCTTCTATATAATATCTATTTGACGGATACATTTTTTTATTTGAATGTATTTTTTCCAAGAATTTTTACCTTAATTCTAAGTTGCTTAAAAAACCTGTCAATATAAATTCATGTCGCGAAAACTAGGACAGCCTATATATTACGTCGATATCGACAAATATTTTCCCGCCGCGATCTACCTAATTTTCCTCCAATAATCATTGATCATATATTCTCTATAGATTTCTATCGATTGCTGTTGTCTCGTTAGTAGAATTATTATCACGTATATTATCACATTTCATTTATATAATCATTATTATTACTACACACATATACAGACACACAACACGCACACATATAACACACAGAGATACACTGTCTATCTGATACCCTTATAGAAATATCATACTAAGAATCATTGATAATTACTTATTATCCAGTATTTTTAATACTGAAAATAAGTAATTATCAATGATTCTTAGTATGATATTTCTATAAGGGTAGTTATCGCTATTGTTATTACTACTTTTATTACTACAATTATTACTGTTATATGATTATGATTATTATTAGTATTTTACACACATACACACACACACACACTACTATTTTATTATTATCGTTATTGTTATTATTATTGCTATTATTAATGTCGTTAGCGTGGCTCACTAGTAGTCTGACAGCGGTCTACAATCGTGTATACTCTGTTAGTTTATGCACGATAGCTGCTAGAAGCGCGAGTTCGTAAATGATGAGTTATCGTTGATTTCTGACGATACCGGAAGTATAGTTTGCGACGAGTTCCAAAACGACGATACATGAGAAAAGAACTCGTCTACTCATCTTACGAGAGGACTGACGGTGTCATTGTTACCATAATGAATAAAGAACGCACACCCTTGGACCAACCCGAAACCGTTAAAATGCCATCTTCATCTGCCAAGTGTAAATAGGATTATAAACAGACGCGAATAACGTTGTATTATTATGAAAAAAACAGCGGTTTTTCTCTCTCTTGTATTTATGTTTTCTGTTCGCAGAATTATACATAGATAACATGTAACGTTACACGTATATGTATTATAATTGTTTTTTTGAATACTTTTCTGATTCTGCGATGGGGATTCGTATAGAAGTACTTCACGCGTGCATGAGCTATACCTTTGAAAGTACACACAAGTCCGACTTCCGAAATATATTTGGAATTCTCACGTCGTACGTCAACTTTGTAATCACTTACCTTAATGATTAATGACCTGCAATGATGTTATTTCGTAGAATGCAAGTGTCCTCGATTCTTGACGGTATGCGAATGAGATACGCATACGAAAATATATAGTTCACGTTACGTATACTGTAGATTTTCGCATGCGTATCTCATTCGCACACCGTCAAGAATCGGGTCCCTGTCGTGTGTAGATAGGTGAATGAAATTCGCTTCACGAAATATTCATTGCATTTCGACACTTTGGTTATGTTCTGCTGTGACGAACGCGCAGTATTCCCGAAATTAGACTCGGTATTTTATGAAATTTTACGATAATTCCAATTTCACGAAATTTTAAGAAAATTCTATCAGGTGTATAAATTAATTCTTGGCCCTTACATTAAATCGATCATATAATCGATTATACCTATTTAAATTGAAATTTTTTCCCGCCAAATAGTCGTTTTAAAGCGCCATCTCTAAGCTTTAAAATGAGCTATAATAGTTCATGGTACTAACACTAGTGAAAGCAATGTCGTTTGAAAAGCAGCACCTAAGGCATTGCCTCCTTTTCGCATTCCAACTTAAAAAAAATACTACAGAAGAAATTATTTGTTCAACCTTGGTCGAGAATGCTGTATCCTATAGCATGTGTAAAAAGCAGTTCCAGAAGTTCCGGAATGGAAATTTTGATTTCCAGGATGAAGAACGTCCTGGACAACCAAAAACAATTGAAGCCGAGGAATTGGAGGAATTACTCAACGAAAATCTTGGTCAAATGCAAAAGGAGCTTGTTGAAGAACTGGCAGCCACTCAATCGGCTATTTCTATACGTTTAAAGAAACTCAGAAAAATATAGAAAGAAGGTTGTTGGGTTCCTTACTTCTGAAAACAAAATTCGATGCTATGACACGACAATGTCTTTCCTGTCACGATTTAAACAAAATGACTTTTTGCATAAAATTGTGACTGGAAATGAAAAATGGATATTGTATGACAATTCTAAGAGACGAAAGTCATGAGTTCATCCGGGTCAATCATCAACAAGTATTGCGAAACCGAACATTTACTCGAAAAAAATGTTGTGTATTTAGCGGGATTTCAAAGGTGTTATTTATTACGAGATTCTCAAACCCGGTGAAACTGTTACTTCTAAACGTTACCAAAAATAAATGATAAAATTAAGTGATGTGATTGAAGAAAAAAAATCTTTTACCAATAGTGGAAATAGGCAAGTGATTTTACTGTACGACAACGCGCGGCCACACACGACAAAAGCGATCATGGAAGTTATCTCCAACTTGGGTTGGGAAATTTTCTCTCATGCGGCGTATTCTCTAGACCTCGTCCCTTCAGACTTCCACCTTTTCCGGTCGCTACAGCAACACCTAGTCGATTTGCATTTTTGATTTACCGAGGAAGTCAAAAAAAGCATCGAAGACTTTATTCGGTCAAAACTACTATCTTTTTTTCGAAACAGTATTCAAAAGTTGCCTGAGAGATGACGAAAAGTAATTGCTACACAGTCGGATTTTATGACTAATATATTCCAAATAAATACACGAAAATTACCAGAGACTAATTATGAGAAAATAATCGCTTTCTCAACAAATGCGCGCGTTTTTATATGTCGCTAAGAGTCGTTTTCTGATTGGCTGATGGAATTATGGAGATGGAAGAAATTCATTCCATCGGTATGATGTCACCGCGTCGATATCGCCGCGTCGGTCCTGAGTGGTGTTTGGATTCAGTTTTCATGCTCCTGTTTATGTTAGCAGCGGGACGCCTTGAGCGATTACGGTTTCTCTTGTTTACAGTTGATCCATCGATTTTAAGACTCTCTAACGACACGTAGTATTCAGCGTTATAATTTTAATTATAATATTTAACGTGCGCGAATATACATATGCGCACGTACTTATGTCTAGTAACATAGGGATAAAATATCTAATGATGTCTGAAATCAGACAAGTCGGCCTCCGATCTATATTAATATATTATTAATGTTTCAAAATAAGTCCGGACGGGGTGGGACCCGATTGATCACGATACGATTGGACACAGATTGTAATAATTGGTTCGACCTAGTAATTCATTAGATAATTCTTTTCATTGGTTGGTTGTGTCCAATCGTACCGTGGTCAATCGGGACGCTCCCGTCCGGACGTTATGACTCCTGCACACAGGACGCGGTAATGCTTGCTGCGCGGCGGAAGTTCGCGCGACAGCCAATCAATATGCTGCTTTCCGTAATAACCTCCTAGCTCTTACGGGAAAACAACATATTGATTGGCTGTTGCGCGGACTTCCGCCGCGCGGCAAGCATTACCGCGTCCTGTGTGCAGGAGCCATTACAGTATACATTCTCCCCACTCTCGACTATGCTATAAATCAAACAAGGATAAGAGAGGAAACAAGGAATCTCTCTCTCATCTCGCACGCCTCAAGAGGCAGCGCGCGTTCTAGATAGTATATATTTCAGTGGCAAAAACTCCCTAATGACTCTTATCAATGAAGTATTACTTGATATATCTACAGATAGAAATTGATTTTTAAATTATTATTGAATAAAGTATATAGTGGGAAATTGATGTTGACAATTCTGATATTTATTTTATCGATTAGGTTAATCGAAGATTGATAAAAGATTTTAACAATGCTCGTAACGCATCATAATTTTCGAATATTATTGGTTGATCTGATACTATAATTAATTTAACTGGCACATAATTAAGTGAATTTGCAACATGGGCTCAACGACAGAAACTGCAAACAACGATATGCATTATGACACAACTAGTTTTTATATTGGTCTGGGATTGGCAATTAGTTCCAGTGGCTTTATAGGTTAGTAAATATTCATTGTCTCATTAATGGTAAATATACATTGGCATTGAGAACTTTAAGCAATTAATATATTCCTCGATCACTAAAATTATAATAATACTACTTTGATAGACAAAGCAGATAAATTAAAGTGAAATAATAACAGTCATACAATGTTCAATAATCTCCTGATTGTTCCAATTTAGGTGCCAGTTTTATCATCAAGAAGAAAGCTCTGATTCACCTTCAGAGATATGGAGTACGTGCATCATCCGGTGGTTTTGGCTATTTAAAAGATTGGATGTGGTGGGCTGGTCTGCTGTGTAGTATGTATAAATCATGGAAAACTTGAGTTTCCTCCAATACTGCTCTTTGCTTTGTAAATAATTTTGCAAAGTACTATTTCTAAAATGAATATATTACAGTGGGCATAGGAGAGGCAGTGAACTTTATCGCGTATGCATTTGCACCAGCATCCCTTGTAACACCATTGGGTGCATTGAGTGTTTTAGTATCGACAGTATTAACATCTAAATATCTTAATGAAAGATTGAACCTACTAGGAAAGGTAAGAGATCTTTGGGAGCAAACAATAAGATCATGATGTAATTTACAATACTAATTTCATAATCTTCATAATAGTAATTTTTTAATTTGCCTTTCAGATAGGTTGTCTACTATGTATCTTAGGTTCTACCATAATAGTATTGCATTCCCCCAAAGAGGAAGAAGTCAGCAACTTCAGTGAATTGGTGGTCAAAACAAAGGAACCAGCATACATATTGTATGTCTTCATTGTGATAATATCCACTCTGTTAATTATATTTTATTTTGGGCCTGCATATGGTAAACAAAATATTTTGGTATACATTTGCGTATGCTCATCAGTTGGCTCACTGACCGTTATGAGCTGTAAAGGTTTGGGTTTAGCATTCAAGGAGACCATACTTGGTAAAGAGAACGCATTTGCCAACTGGCTGACATGGATTTTCTTATTTAGTGTTATTCTTTGTATTATGGTGCAAATGAATTATCTAAACAAATCACTCGACCTGTTCGACACGTCGATTGTGACGCCAATCTATTACGTCTTCTTCACGACTCTTGTGATAATAGCCTCCGCGATTTTATTTCGGGAGTGGGAGAAAATGGGTGCGGAAGATATTCTCGGTGCTTCTTGCGGATTTATCATAGTCATAGTTGCGATATTCTTGTTGAACGCCTTCAAAGAAACGGACGTGCATTATGGCGACATTAAGGCTATGTTCCGGCCCAAAAGAGAAATATTGTTAAATTACAATTCAAGATGGAACTCTAGAAACGAAGAAACGATGACGACTAAAATGGAGTCTCAAAACTTGCTCAGTAATACGTACAGCAATTCAAATTTCACTAGAACCATCTAAGAGTGACCTTCATAGAGAGAAATATGTGCCTAATGTGAAATATTCCCAAATTTTGTGTAATATCTTAAAATTAAGATTGTATAGTATAATTTATTTCTCCCATTATCTTTATAACTTTATTACATATGCCTCGTATACTTAGTTGCAAAATAGTTTATTTTCTTACAGCAATACAATAGTTTACTTACACAGTGATGATTGAGATCTTACCAACCTGTCAAAATTGAGTCATTATCAACGGGCTTGCGCAATATAATTTATTATATCAAATATATATATATATAATATAATTTATTTTAAAGCGTATTGTATATTTACATCTGTAAGAACAACATATAAGCCCTAAAGTTACGAGGAATATTGTCGAAGCCTCGGTAGCTGAATAGGTAAAGACGATCCGCCCAGATAGTGGGGAGAAGGTTCGACTCCTGAAGTAGTATTTTTCGCAACTTAATAATGGAATCAATGCGCAGTGGAGAATATTAAAATAAGGGTTTTTAATAATTATAGAAAAATATTAGGAGATTTAGGGTCGGTTGTTAGTGGAAAATTGATTCATCGCGTATGTTATAAAGAAAATCATTTCGATGTGTGCGTTTGACACGACAAATATTATTATCCTCCCCATCATAGATATTTGCAAAAACATCCAGCATCGGCTCTTAATGGCCTTGTCAAAATTTAGGTGTTACCTATAGAGAGCCTGAAAATATTTATTTCGATAATAATTATATATATATATATATATATATATATATATATATATATA